GAGAAGAACTTGGTATGGCACTTTCCCATTGAATTTAAGGGCAGTTTTTGGGGGATATTTTTTCCAAAAGACCCCATCTCTAGCTTCTAGATCATGACAGGTCTGATTGTCATTAAGTGAGGGTGGAGGGTGTCACAAAAAGCTTTTTTTCTTTTTTACCTGAAATATACTTTGAAAACATACTTTGGCATAATGCATTAAAAATTTGTATTACTGGCATGAATGAATATGTAACAATGAATCTCACCAGTATGTGTAATCAGAATGCACCAATAAAAATATGAAAATAAAAACTTGTATTACGGTCTCATATCTACATATGTGATACTATTATTAGGGGCATAAGTCTTCCAATAACTATTTCGTAAAATATTAGTGTTTCCAAATGGAGGTGGACCTGATTGTCATCATACCCCATGTTAATACCTTTGACCAAGGCAATTATTATTTTTTTTCAATTTTTAATTGACATATACTAATTATACATATTACGGGGTACACAGTGTGATGTTTGAGTACATGTACATAATGTGTAATAATTATATCAGATTAATTGGTTATCTACATGTAATTGGGCCCAGTCTAGTTATTTATTGAATCCAATCTGATTCTAGAGAGCCTAGTTAAGGAAATGCTCCAGAGAGCTCAAAATCTGAGAGGGAGCTCATACAAGAGAGGTATCTCACACATGGGTGCCAGTTGCAGTGAAGGAGCCGCAAGCACAGTAGACCAGTTGGGTCCTTCACTTGTCAGTAGATTCTCTGGGGTGTTACTGGAGGTGTCCTTTGAATCTCTCATCTAATACCAAACTGTTAAAAGAAAAATTTTAGACAAAATTAAAATACAGGTTTTATTTGAGCAAAGAAGTATTTATGAATCAGGCAACACTCAAGCCTTGAGAAACTCTGCTCCTACAATGTGAGCAGTAAGGTTTTACAAGCTGAACAAGAAAACAAAGCAGCTACCTGATTGACTATAGCTAGGCATTTTTCTTATTTGAGCATGTCATGTTGGAAGGTCAAGGTGTTTGCCTTATTGGGTGTGGTGCGAGGAGAGCTCTCAGACATTTGTATTATTGGGCCTGGTGTAATGGGAGGTCTTCAGTTATAAAACCAATTGACTGGCCAGCTGTGATTAAGGCGAGATTTTAATTTTTATGTCAGCCACAAGAAATGCCTCCAAGTTAGGCTTTATTTATGAAAGAGTTCTGGGTCTAGGAGACAACATCAGGCTAAACTTATTTGCTTTAAAAAGAGGACATTTTAACAACATTTTACCAAAGAAATTTTCTAAATAATAAAGAATTTTACTACAATTTTTTTTAAAGAGAGAGTGAGAGAGGAGAGAGAGAGAGAGAGAGAGAGAGAGAGAGAGAGAGAGAGAGAGAGTTTTCCAACATTTATTTTCTAGTTCTCAGCGGACACAACATCTTTGTTTGTATGTGGTGCTGAGGATCGAACCCGGGCCGCATGCACGCCAGGCGAGCGCGCTACTGCTTGAGCCACATCCCCAGCCCAACTACAAATTTTTAAGAGGTCAAAAATATTGGAAATAGTTTAACTTTAGAGAAGTTGAGCTTCTTGACAAGGAAAAAACAATCCAATATATGCACAAGTAGATATTAAAGAAATATTCATTATACCACTCTTTATAATAGCAAAACACAAAAAAATTTTAAACAGTCAATTTTAGGGTGTTGACTATATATAAGAATGGGTCTTAAGATCTGTAGCTCTTAGGAAGTCCCTGGCTCTGAGGGACCACAGTGTAAGGAAGTCAGGTGCTGAGGTTCAAAGCAGATTCTCTCTTCTTGTGGAAGCACCACCCTAGAAATTGATGGCTCCGGGAAGTAAGAGATGCCGCTTTTTCTTTATCATCAAGCAATTATTCTTCCTTCTTCCTTCTTCCTGTTCCATGCACACCCTAGAAACCACTCTCAAGCCTCATCCTGATTCCCTTCAAGTTGAATCAACTTCTTTTTAAAAAATATTTATTCATTCTTTTTGGTTATATATGACAGTATAATGTATTTTGACATACATACATGGAGTATAACTTCTGATTCTTGTGGTTGTACATGATGTGGAGTTACAATGGTTGTGTATTTATGTATGCACATAGGAAAGTAATGTCCAATTTATTCTACCGTCTTTCCTATTCTCAATCCCCTTCCCTCCCCTTCATTCCCCTTTGTCTAATCCAAAGTACTTTTGTTCCCCTTCCCCTTATTGTGTGTTAGCATCTGCAGATCAGAGAAAATATTCAGTTTTTTAGGACTAGATTATTTCACTCAGCATGATAGTCTCCAATTCCATCCATTCACTGGAAAATGCCATAATTATATTCTTCTTTATGGTTGAATAATATTGAGTTAACTTTTTATTTGTGGTTTAGTCCATATCAAGTCCCAGGGAGATCTTCCAAACCTGGGCTTCTCTAAGTGTGCCACAGGGCCAGAAATACCTGTATCCCTTGGGAGCTGGTTACAAATGAAAATTTCCTGGTTCCTTCCATATTTGCTGGGTCAGTAGCCTGGGAGTTGGGGAGGATAGAACTTGAATTTTAATAACCTTTGGGGGATTCTTGTTCTTCTGAAAGTTTRTAAGTAGCAGCTGAGAAAAGTTGAAGATATATTCATGGAAGCAGCTCAAGTCTTATTTGAAAACTTGGTAAATGACTTTCTAAAGCTCAGACTATGGTCCATGAAGGTTAATCCTGCTTAGAGAAGCTCTGAGAATTGATGTGGAAATCCCTCTTTGAATTGGGTCCCCTGGAGTTGGGATGCCAAGACTGGAATGTAAATCTGTCTGTCTCCTAGTAATGGCGGTTGACTCTCAGACCTCCACACCTGCAAAGTGAAAACAATCTGCTGATGGAACTCCATTTGCACTGAGCAGGCCCTGAACCCAGCCTGGGGAGGTGAAGGTGCTGAAATGGGAGCTGCCTGCATGATAGTGCTTAGAGACATCAAGTACAGGGCATAGAGAGGGGTTTTTGGAGATTGGTAGCTATGGCTCAAGAGGCAAACCAGCAACTGCCTACTTGTGTCAATATAGTCCCATTGGAACACAGTCACTCTCATTTGTTTACACATTGCTTATGGCTTCTCTCAACATACAAGAATAATATTGGGTCATTGAGAAAGAGACCATATGGTCCATAAACACCAAAATAGTTGCTATTTTTTTTTCCCCGCGGAATGTGTACCAAACCCTAGTCAAGTGATATAGGCATGATCTTAGTAGTCTCTGACACATCAGAACATATCAAATATTAATTTTCCTTGCATCCCTTGGGGATCTGAGAAACAGGCTCCTTTTGCAAAGATGGGGTGATCCTGAAGTTGTCCATTTCTGTGAGGTTACCAGGATATGCTGTAGCTGCTCCCAGTGCTGGGACTATCCTTAGAGAGTAAAGCTAGAGTCCTTCCTTTATCTACCATCCTGCTGAGGACCAGGGAAAGGTATGAAAACCAGCCCTTTAAAAGTAGAGGACACAGGTGCCGTGAGGGGACTTAGGGCTTGGCTGCCTCCATGGCGCACATCAGATGCCCTGAGAAGTCACAGTCATTTTACCTCTGGATATGTGTGGGTCATTGCCATGAACTCTAAGACGGCAGCTCAGATGCACCTTAGTTGTGCCACTTGCGGCTGCATTCAGGAGGTCTAGAAGGAAGAGGGACACTTCTAGAGAGACAGCAGACCACCCTTTTGAGTATAATTACCTCATAATCACCCTCATAATCATGACTCACAAAGCTGATAGAAATGCATCTATTTTGATTTATTTATTATCATCTATAATGATCTATTCTTCATGATGGACCTGATGAAGGAGATTTTCTTAAAGATTTTAGAAGATTTTCTAAAATGTTAGGACACAAAACTCTAGACATTTGTAAAACAAGAGATTAAAGTATAACAGAACTGTTCAGCTACTGAAATGCCAACTTCTGTGAATGGCTGGTGTCCACAGAAGATGGAGCCCACCATGACCAGTCCTGTGGGTGGATCCAAATCAGGCGAATCACTCTGAGCAATTCTTCTTTAGCATGCTGAAACTTACTGCCAACTTCTGGGTGTTGATTATGAAGAGGCAGGTGGAGGTCTGAGTGAACAATCAAAGATGGGACAGTGGGTGGCGGAGGCTCAGGAAGCTGTGGCTCATGCTTTGAACACAGTATCCATTTTAACCTTGTCCTGTCCTGGGGCCAGCAGTTGTACCAGGGAGCCTTTGGCTCTCAGGCATGGCCAACCAACCTGAACTCTGGGTAAGTCCTGAGCTGCATCCTGATCTGGAGCTCACTGCTGACCCAAGGGCACCTGTGTCAGTTCTGCTATTCCAATCGGTGACCTCCAGTGAACCTCCAGTCTTTCTCTGTGTGATCCAAGCTCCCAAGAGAAGGAGAGGGATGCTCTGACCCAGAGAAAACTGGCTGCTTTCAGATTTAAGTCACTGTTAAGTTACAAATTAATTCTCTAATTTGGGGATCTATTAATCCTAGGAGGAGTTGTCACCAGTGGTGGGCTTCTCCTTGTCCTTGTTCCTCAGAATAAGTATTGCAGCTCAGCAGGGTATAGGGCAGGACCTGGGATTCTTTCTTACCTGCCGACTCCTCAGGCTCTGGGTCCATATATGCAGACCCTGAGCTCCGCACACTTAGGCAAAAGTGATGTTGGATGCCCACCAGATTCCTTCTCATGAAGGCAGGGAGTAGAGGAAATGAAGACCAAGCAAGGGACATCCTCTACTCAGCCCAGGACACCAAGACCAAGATAAACATGAGCAATATGAAGGCCATATGTCCTAGGAAGCAGTCAGCAGGCAGCTATAAGTGCATGAGTGACACAGTTGGAAACTGAGGTTGGCCATGATTCTTCAGGTTCACCTCTGTGCTGCTTGCCTGGTAGGCTCCCCACTGAGGCTCAGGCAGGATGGCCTGATTGAGCCTGCTGCTGGCTTACTCCTTACGTCCCTAAGAATGGCTTGATGAGCTGCTTCTACACCCCACTCCATGCCCAAGGAGCACCCACATCTGTGAAATGAGGTAAGCTGGTGCTCTCGCTTACATGGTTCTGCTCTGGGCTGTCTTGAAGTGGGCAGTCATTAATATCTCCCTCAGATTTTCCACATACTGTTCTTCCCAGCTCTAGCGTCATGGAATAAATTGTTGAGATGCTCATCTGCAGACACAGAAGGATTAAAGTGAAGAAGCCCTTCTGGCTGCCCTTTAGTAGCTTGACCGTTGTGTTATGGTTGTGTCCAGTGGAGGGAAGACCCAAACTCTACTCCATTCAGGAGCTTCCCTGTGGGTCTGACATCTGCTCACTGGAGGTGAAATCCAGGGGAATCCTCTATAGATGGGGGATTAAAAGCAAAGAATGAGTGGACCTGGTAGAGGCCTGGGGAAAATCCAGGCCAGGTCATATGCCAATTATAGGTCACTTGTCTACAGTCCCAGAGTCCCCTCTCTACCACAGTGAGACCTCAGTCTCACTCTCAGCAGGCATCTGAACTTAAGATTGCATTCCCAGGGGTCAATTTCCTAGCACTTGTCAAGGTGGTGGCTCCTCAAGGGTTTTATAGGTAATCTTGGCCCTGAGGGAAGGAGCCTAATATATGACATGTTATCAATGCTTTCCCCTGAGCTAGAGCAAGAAGAATGGCAGTCAGCACTACCACCATGCATGAGAACCCATTTGTGGTACACTGCCAATATCTACTCCTATGACAAAGTGCACTCTGAAATTCTCCTTCCACTTCTTCCCACTCAGTTTCACCTCATTCCATTCCATGTCCTCCCACCCCATCCATCCATTCTTCCCAACTCACCCAACTGACCCTGCAACTGCCAGTCCAGAGACCAACAGGTCAGATGCCATTCTGGGAGTTTGGGACATTAGATCAGCTAGGACACTGTACATCAGTGGCCACAAAGCCTTCAGCTCTCTTTGGGGTTGTGGTCCCTCTGCCCTTCTTATAGGCTGTGTGCTAAAGGAGGAATAGTGATGCTCACCCTCCCTCCAAACTAGAGGTGTCCCATTAGGAGATGAACATTGCATTCCTGATGGCATTATAGTGACTCCATCAAAAAGAGAACATTTTTGGATTAATAAGAATGAGCAGAGGAAGAGTCCTTGATTATATCATATGCTATACAGAGACACACCAAGGAGCTCAGGGCAGGGGGAAATCAGGGCAGAGGAGCCAAGCCCACCATGGTTCTCAGGTCTGATTGCTCTTTGAATCATCAGTGCCTCCCCTTCCGCCTGGCATGCTCTCTTCTCTGTTCCTCCCTCTGTTCATGGATCTCTGTTTGTCTATGTGTTTCTCTCTGTGTTTCATAATTGCTTTATTTTATATCCTTGAAATATTTTTTTTCAATATATCTCCACAGTCATTTTCTCTTCTTTAACTGGTAGCTTCATCACCTAAGTGTTTTTATTTCAAAGTCATTCTTTAGTTAAACAATGTCATAAAAGCAAATTTTAAAACCTCATCTTGAGTGTGAGTGGCATTGGCCTAATATAAAACATGAATTTCTAAGTTAAACTTCGTCCTGAACCAGAATGCTAACAGAGTTAGCTTTTGTTTTATTGGAGCAAGGACAACAAATGTTCAACCAGGACTCACTGACGATGATACTCCCCTCACCCCTCACCAAGTGGCAGGCGCAGAGGGCAAGGTGGGAGAGGAGGTGGTCACTCACCTTCTTAGTCTCAGAACTCAGGACCTGGACAAGCTTGTAAGCATACTGGTCCTTGTTCTGCTGGTTGAATTTCTGTAAGGCAAACTCCAACGTAGGAGAGAAGTTGGGATCCCCAATTTGCAGCTGGAGAGTGTACATATCTTTTTCTGAACACCAGGCCTGAGTTACCAGGGGATGGAAGCCTAAGAGAAGCAGCAGCAGCATGGCCCAGGGAAGAACCCTCCTCCCAGGTGGACACAACATGGTGTAGGCACTGGGCAATCCCTGCCTTTGCACTTCTCAGTCCTTACTCTTCCAGGTTCAGCCCTTTAATTTATCTGTTTGGCCCTCCCTCTGGGCCTCCTCTTTGCCATTACACCTTCCCACAAGTGGTCTCACTTCCTCCAGTGAAAGCTAACTTATCTCCTGTCCAGAGGGAGTGACAGGACCTAGTCAGATGGATTGAGGAGGACAAACAAGAGGACAGAGGGTCCCCTGACTTAAGTCCCAACCACACTTGCTCCCTGATGCCTCAGTGAAGCCTTCTTAGGATGTCCCTGAATCAGATGCTGAAAACAAGGACACAAACTCCAGAGGTGTTAGTGGACAGGGATAATGAGGCAAGAAGGGACAGATAAAAGAGATGTGTGTGATGAGTAAATTGTAGATAAAGAGAAGTACCGCTGCCCAGAGATAATGTGGGTTCATCCTAGAGCCACAGGAGGTCTGGATTTTGCCACCTCACATGTCCCCAGAATGTCTGAGCTCCACTGTGTCCCACCTTTCCCCCTTCCCAGGTTCTAGAATAGACAAGGTCAGTGGCCCTCATGTCAACCCTGGGGTGCACAGAGTTGAGGAATACAGACAGACGCTCTCCTGAACTGCTTCTCCTCTCCCTGACCCCAGTTTCTCAGCCCTGGATTAAACCACCACTGCTGTGCCTGGAATCCTGGCTGATTAAGTGAATGCAATCCTCCAGAGGAATTCAGAGGAGGAGTGGCCATTTTCATTAGAGTAATGGGAGTAGAGAAAGAGGGAGATGAWGACAGAGAAGGCAATCCAGACTAAGGATGGCTGAGAGGTGGTCGTTGGTGCCCTCTTGTGGCCAGATTGATCACAGCTCCTTGGGCACAGTTTACGTGTGGAGTCTGGTCTCTGGAAATCGGAGACCTTTGCAACCTCCAACTCTGGCAGCAAATGGTGTCCTGACAAGTCTGAATTATACACTTTTTATAGGCAAGACTTAAGCCTTGTCCCCATAAAGTATGCTTTCAACATTTATCTTCAGCTACTTGCAAATTTTCAAGGGGACGAGAATCTCCTGAAGGCTGTTAAAATACAAGTTCTTGATTCTAGTATTCTGACCCAGGAGGTCTGTAAAGGCCAGGAATTTGCATTTCTCAACTGCTTCTAGGGGATGGTAATGTTATTGGTCCTTGGGGCCACACTGTGAGTTGTTCAGGTTCAGAATATGTCCCTGGGGGCATGGATATTAAACCAAGCCACAAGTCAGAAATAGCTCAACTTGAGAGGAATGGGGGAGGGGGAAGGAGCACACAGGATCAGGAAAAGGGAAAAAGCACATCACCTGGTGATAGAGGGAAGGAGAGCTTCAAGACTCAAGGCATCAGTCACCAGGTCAGGGCCTTTGGAGAAGAGAGGTTGCTTTGCACCTGATCGTGTGGCTGGCCTTCTGCATGGTGATCCCTCAGGGTTAGGTTCGGGAGTTGCAGCAATCAAGATCTCCTGGTGAAGCCAGGCCCTTGTCCTGGAGCAGCAGAGCAGAAGCCTGGRTGGGCTGGAGCACAGGTAGCCAGCACAGACTGGGCTGGACGGTGTCTGCCATGTCAGTACAGGCCTGAGGCACAGCAAGCCAGCACCAAGCTGAGCCAGGGCACCCTGACTTCTTGTACTGTGGCAGCCACTCTCTCCATACAGTGCTGCAGCCTGAAACCCCCACCCCCATCCCCCATCCCTGAGCATCCACGATCTGACTTAACCTCCCACTACTCAAMCAGCAGGAAAACAAAAATGGTGCAGACCTGAATGGGATTTCAGGGATACACAATAGTGTTGGTACTTTTCCAAGCCCTAATTAGCATAAATTTGACCCAACAGTATTCACCCAAGTGCAATAGAAACCCCTAGACTAGCACATTCAGGAGGCAACCCCTATTGGGGTCCCCTCTGTCCCTGGTTCCTATTCTTCACACTTGAATAAATCTTACTCCTTTCACTTTGCATTTCATTGTCTGTGAATTTCATTCTTTGGATTTGGAAAACAAGAACCCAGAGTGAAGTTGGCAGTGAGTTGCTGGAGCCTATTGCAACCCTGAAGGGCACAGCCCACTCACTATTTAGAGCCTCAACACTAAGAGATACAGCAGGGCACTCAGAGAGGCCTGCAGTTTTCACAGACCCCACCCACCAACAGAAGCAGAGATTCAAGTTTCATCAAAATTCTGGTTTCACTACAACTGCACGTCGGGGGTTTCCAACCTTGGGGACTCCCAGCCTTGCTACCCCACCCTGCCCCCAACCCCACGTGCTCTCATCTCCTGCACCCTAGTGTAGTAAACACAGTGGCCCCTGTTCTAGGGAGCTGGCTTCCTCTGTCTCCTATTCCACATGTCTTTTGATTGTTCCTTTCAGAGAACATTTCCACACCCACTGTTCCACAATCTTCCAGGGGTCAATTTCATCTAGGCAGGGTAATGACAGGTTGGAATGTGTTCTTTGCAATGAAGAAGATATTTGGTGTTATCATTTGAGGAATCCATCCAGATGTGAACGAAAACATCCCCCAAAGAGATTGCATCTTTTTTTTTTTTTCTTGATGGCTTTAAGATCACTAAAACTGCAGCTCAAGTGTAAACATCATGGTTTCTTGCTGGAGAATGATGGTGGAAGTTGAGCAGTAGGGAAGGGGTAAATGTGGAAATGTCCTTGTGCTTTCTGGAGGAATGGGCTGTGGAGTCCTACGAGAACTAGAATCCTGACACACACCTGGATAGGTTGTGAGTGTCCTGACAGAGGCTAGCAATACTCACGGAAGAAACTCGCATGTTCTCAAGTCAGGGACTGGCAAGCACAGGTCTCTTCTGTAAACTGTTGGTGGGGCCCCTGCTCTAAGCACAGGTGCACAGGCTTCCCAAGTGTACGCCCATATGTGCTCTCACACCAGGGACGGCTCAGGGCCCTGTGCATCAGATCTGTCCTCACTGTACAGCCAAGGAAGGGATGTGGGCCACCTTACCCAGACGGGAATGATGGGTGTGTGCACGTTTCTAGCCCTTACAAGTATGTCTGAACTTTTGTTGCAACCCTTGTGGCCTGAGAAGGCCTCCCTTCAGAAGTGAGAGAGATCAGTTTCCCAAGAGAGAAGCCAAGATAAGAACAGTCACTGTGATCTCTAGACTTTTAGAACTTGGAGGACAGGGACAAAACCATGACAGAAGGCCTGGGGTGCCTTGCCAGGGAGGTCTCAGCAGGCTGTCACAGTTCTCTACCTGGCTGTCCCTTCATCAAGAATCTGGGATGATGGGCTGGGGATGTGGCTCAAGTGGTAGCGTGCTCGCCTGGCATGCGTGCGACCCGGGTTCGATCCTCAGCACCACATACAAATAAAGATGTTGTGTCCGCCGAAAACTAAAATAAATAAATTCTCTCTCTCTCTCTCTCTCTCTCTAAAAAAAAAAAAAAAAAAAAAGAATCTGGGATGTCATTGACTCCTACTCATCCTTCAATACCCATGTCAAATGTTTCTTGTTTTCGAAGCTCCTTTGACTTTGTTTGGAGGAGTTCTGTCTCATAAGTCATTAATCCTGGGCAGGTACTGAACCATCATCCTTTTGGGGCAAGTGTGATTGCTGAGGTGCTCATTTTTGGGTTGCTGGTACTAAGCACCACAGATGGGTCTCATGGGAAGATATGAGCCACAGAGGACAGACAGACATGAGTGGTGGGAACATAAGGTTAAGGGAATGATTCTATAAAATAGGCCTACTGTGCGGACCCCCTACATACTTTCACTTTTAAAAAGTATTTTACCTGCAACCCTGCCTGGCTTAAGTGGACAGGATTTGTGTTACATCCCTCAGCAAACCACCTGTTGTCTGCAAGAGAAATGGGGGCTCCAAAATACTAATAAGAAGAACACAAGTTACCCAGAAGCTGGGGGAACCTTGGTGACCGCTGCACAGACCAGATCCCAGAACTCAAGGGGATAAGAATAATTCCCCCTAACCACAAAATGTGTGAAGAACAGGTTCTAATCAGAAGTGGTCAGCATGGGCCAAAGCCACCTAGGGTTGTCATGGCAGTGGGGACTTAAAGTCTAATGTCATCCTGCTGTCAGTCAAAAGTCATGAGGTAGACGTGAGCTGGACTCTCTAGAGACTCCCCCGCCCCCTATGAAACTGGAGGGCAAGAGAGGCACATAGGCCCCCACCTCTCTGAGAGGACCCACTCTCCCCCTTGAGAGTATTCCCCTTTTCTCTTTCCCATCCTTTCTACTTAACTCAGGCCTGTTTCTTTTAGAGACATGTCTGACATCTTTCTGACTTGATCTGAGAATCAAGGTTTAAGGAGGGGGAACTTCACACTGCTGCAGTTCTCAGAAGGCTTCACCCTGTAACATCAGTAACGACTCACTGAAATGGGCCTGATTCCCTGGAACCAAACTTCTGCTATTTCTGCAAGAATTGAGAACCATCAGAGAAGGTCAGCAATGACTAAGACCAAATCACCAACTCTTATCTGTGAGGGTAAAAGTGAGGTGCAGGCATTGGGGTGCCATCCAAGCCAGCTGCCTGTGTTCAAAGTGCATGATGCTCTCCTGGCTCCCCTACACCCGGCTCAGTGTCTTCTCTGAGCTCTGGCCGCTGTCCTCACAGCCTACCTTCTTTAGCCACCTCCTCTAGCTCTCGCCCCATGGCCCCCCTGGTTTCCAGATCATCTGACTGACTTCCAGGCCACTTCTGTTGACTGATTGCTTGACATCCCTTTACAGCATGCCCTTCAGATTCCCCAGGTGTTCCACAGGCTGAAATACGAGAGGGTGCTTAGAGTCCATGCGATCAAAGAAGAAAAAAGTGACAGGATTCAGAACAGGAGGCATTGTTATGATAGGTTTGAAGAAATAAGAGACAGACGGACTGGGCTGTGGCTCAGCAGTGGAGTGCTTGCCTAGCACGTGCAAGGCCCTGGGTTCGATCCTCAGCACCAAATAAAAAGAAAGAAAGAAAGAGAAAGAAAGAAAGAGAAAGAAAGCAAGAGAAAGAAAGCAAGAGAAAGAAAGAAATAGAAAGAAAGAAATAGAAAGAAAGAAAGAGAAAGAAAGAAA